CCTGTGATATGAAAAGATTATTCTGTGTATTTATATCTGGATCAACTAGGATTCACATGGCAGGACTAGAAATTAGCAAAAGTAAAAGGTGGTAGCATTCTTTCAAAATATCCAGTTCTGTGTGTATGTATGTGTATGTAATTAATGCTTTTTAAATAAAAGGAATAAATTTTTCTTTAAGGATTTTGGATTCCAGGGTGCCTGGGTGGCTCAGATGGTTAAGTGTCTGCCTTCGGCTCAGGTCATGATCCCAGAGTCCTGGGATCGAGTCCCGCATCAGACTCCCTGCTCAGCGGGGATCCTGCTTCTCCTTCTGCCTCTCTCTCTCTGTCTCTTTCTCTAAAAAAAAAAAAAAAATTTGGATTCCATAGAGTAATTAGAATGCTCAGGGATTGTATGAATCTCCAAGTTTTAAATATAAGTATTGTCTGAAGACATTGTGGTGAAATTTTGGAAAAGGAAACCTATCGAACATTGATCTCAGTTACTTGAAAAGCTGTGCATGACAACTTCTTTATTGGGGAATTTAAAAAGGAAAATTTGTGAAGGGACTCTTTCCTGCCTGTTCAGAGGATTGTTTACAGTTTAATTGAGAACCCAGTGGTATTAAATATTTTCAGATTGGACTGATACTCATTTCATAATTATTTTATGATATTTAAAGTGATACCTCCAGAGCTGTATAGAATTCAAGTAACAATATTTTGAACAAGTGTAAAAATGAAGCAGATTCTACAGCAAGCCATCAGTTTTCATTGCAGGTGCTTTCTTCCTCCTCAGCCCTTCCCAGTTTGGTAGATTGTACCTATGATAAGAATATCTGGTTCTAAGGGTATATAGAGATAACTGGAAACAAGTGATATGTATCAGGACAAGAAGTCTTAGCTTCTTATCAAAAAGTAAATCTTCAGTTCCATAAAGTTGTTGGTATAACAGTTACTTATATTAAATATCTTTATGTGATGTATAAAATAGAAAAGTCTGTAATTCTAAGTAGAATATTCAAAATGTTCCTTGATCTAGGTCAGCTAGGTCACAAACTCCAGGAAACCAGATGTGCCTTTTAGTAAACTTTTTGCCTTTGGAGTATGAATTTTTTACTCAGATAAATTTTACAAGAATATCTATCATCAGACATACATTTGGGTTGAAAAATACTTTTTAATAGACAGCAGTATTTCTAGTACTCAGGAGGAGGAACTGTTTCCATTCAAAGCATCAGAAAGCCTCATTGCTGCTGGTGCTGCTTGGATCTGTAGGTTTACAGTTTTTCATCAAATTTGGAAAATTTTCAGTCATTATATCTTCAAATATTTTTCCTCCCCCCACCCCTGCTTTTCAGAAAACTCCAGTTACACACATATTAGGCCACTTGGGATTGTCCTACAGCTCACTGATCAATTCATCTTTTAAATTCTTTTGTCCCAGTGTTTACTTTGGATCATTTTTATGTCTTTAAGTTCACTTAAACTTTTTCACTTATATTGTTTAGTCTTTTGTCAATACCATTCAGTGTATTTTTCATCTCTGACATTATATAATGTTTTCACCTACAGTGTTTGATTTAGATCATTTTTTATATCTTCTGTATCTCTCCTTTTTTGGAGATACGGAGTATACTTAAAATTAACTTTTAATATCCTTACCTACCAATTTCCCATCTAGGTCAGGTTAGGTTGGTTTTGATTTTTCTTCATTATTATGGATCGTATTTGCTTGCTTCTTGGCATGACTAGTAATTTTTGATTGGATTCCAGACACTATGAACTGGGTGCTGGATATTTTTATATTCGTACAAAAAGTGCAGAACTTTGTTCTGAGATGGAGTTATTTAGAAGCTTCAATCCTTTCAGGTTTTATTGCTAAGCAAGATTTGTTAGGTAGGATCAGAGCATTGTTCAGTTTGGGTTAATGATTCCCCATTGTTGAGGCAAGCAAGACCTGTGTGTTACATCTAAAGCCCCATGAATCGTGTTTCCCCATCTCACTGGTGGGAATGAACAGGTACTACTCCCAGCTCCATATGAGCACCAGTCTTTGTTCTAAGTCTTTCAGTTGTTTTTTTCTCTGGTCTTGGTTAGTTACTTACATGTATGCACTATCAGCACTCAGCTGAAGACTTGCAAAGTGGGGTTGGGTCATAGTGTGCATGTTTGTGGGGTTTTCTGTGCAGCTCTCTCCGGTCCCTTGAACCCTAGTTGCCTTGGTCCCTCTGGACTTGGCTCAGTCTCAACTCAGAATGCCTTCCAACCCCACCTGTGTTCTCCCTCTCTGCACTCCAGCTCCAGCCTAGAAACTCCAAAAGCAGTTAGCTTTGCTAATCCTAAGACTGATCTCATTTTCCCCATAACTGTTCTTTGTTGCCTGTTGTCCAGTGCCTGAAAACCATATTTTTTTCATACAACTTGTGGTTTTGGTTGTTTCAAGTGAGAGGGTAAATCTGGCCCGTGTTGTTTTCACTTTAAGTAGAAGTCTGAATATGTTTTTTAAATTTTTGTTTTAATTTCTAATATGGAAAATATTGGTAGATGTAATTGGTCATAAGCAAAAGTTCCTTGCGGTCCTCAATAATTTAAGAATGTAAAGGCATCCTGAGATTAAACAGTTTGAGAATGAGTGGTCCAAACCAACATTTCCCAGTGCTTACTTAAGATGTTAGTGGTTCCATGGACAACTAATTTGGTGTAAGACTCTCAAGTTAAAGCAGACTTCTCAACCACAGGCTCTCAGAGCCTTCAGTATGCTAGTGTGTGACGTGTGTGTGTGTGTGTGTGTGTATCAATATGGATTGATAGCAATACTTGCTAAACTTAACTGATCTTGAAGAACTTTTTGGAACTAGAGTTGCCAGCAGTCCTCCTCAAATATACCAAACCAGCACAAGGGGCTAAAAACAATCCCAAATGGCTTGTTTTAAAAATAAAAGTATATATTTCCATACAGCACTTTAATATCACATTTGGATTACTTTGGGGCTACCCTATTGACTTACATCCAGATGTTGAAAGTGATTCCTCCCAGAGCAGTCTACTCAAAGCCAAATTCCCCTTTCCATTCCTGGAACCACTGGTAACTAATTTTACAGTTTTGGAGGTGTTGTGTCATGGCTCCCAATTTAAGAATAATTTTAATTATGAGTGGATGTCTCAATTGTTTATTGGGTAGAAATCTCAAATGACTAAGCACCTGGCATTTAGAGTGTTTTCCTCTCAGATATCTATGTGTATCTCTGATTTTGGAAACTTGGTAGGTATGGGAAATGTTGGTTCTGTGTGGGGAACAGTTTAATATATACATTTTGGTTATCTATAGCTACCTAATCAACCACTCAAAAATTTAGTGGCTTAAAACAGTATTTTTATTCACAAATCTCTAGTTTGGTCAGAACTCAATAGGAATAGCATGCTTTGTTCCACTTGGTGTCGGCTGGGATGGTTCAAAAACTGGGGACTGGAATAACCTGAAGGCTTACTTACTCATGTCAGCTGATACCGGCTGATGGGAGAGATCTCAGCCAAAGCTATGGCTATAATATCTACATGTAGCCTCTTCGTGTGGTTTGGGCTTCCTCAAAACATGGTGGCTGAGTTCCAAGAGTAAGCATCTAAAGGGAAAAAGGCAGGCAAAAGCTGTACTGTCTTTTCTAACCTAGTCTTGTCCATCATATTGTGCTAGTTAAAAATGAGTCACTAAGGTTGGCCTTTATACTGTCTTTTCTAACCTAGTCTTGTCCATCACATTGTGCTAGTTAAAAATGAGTCACTAAGGTTGGCCTTTATTCCGGTTGGGGAGTAGTCTTCATGTTTTGGTGGGAATGTCCAGATTTTAAAACTACCACATAGAGAATTAGAAGTTACTCCATAACTCTTCTTCAATTCAGCCTATCTCCATTTATTGCTGATTAACTTCCCCAGTCTTCTTAAAAGGCCTTCCCCTCTACCACAGTGGAACTTGCCTTATAAGACCTGCGTGAGGTGCTGAAGGCTGATGCATGAATTTTCACTTAGTACATCCTCAAGATTGACTTCTTCCCACTAAGTTTCTGCTTATGTTTTTAATGTCCTACATAGCACACCCTGTAGCTTTTCAAAATAAGCAATATAGTATGTTAAAATAGGTTTTGGGAAAGACTCATATGTGCTCATTGATCATGCTGGTTCAGTTTTACCAGTACACATTTACAGACCAATTTCACACCATACCCCTGAAAAATAAAAAGTTTGGATTGAGTCTTTGATAAAGAACTAAAAGTTTCTGGGGAAATAATAAGAATACTCTGTGTATACTTAACACTCCTTTTCTACCTGAGCCAGCTAAATGTGCCAGGACAGTGCAACATTCTTTGCAACTTACGCAGTATTGAAATTTTTGAGTAAAGCACTTCAGTTTCCAGGCTTTTGTAAGTTACCATCTGTCAGATCAGAGTGGAGTCTAAAAAGTCACACCAAGCCTCAGATTCTGAAGTTGTCCGTAGGTAGCTGTTTGTAATAATCTTTAGGTTTAGATGAATCAAAAGAATTTCTCAGTGTTTTGTTTAACAGCGTGCTTACCACCCTGGGTCATTGTGCCTTTCTGAGGAGCTTGTTAGAAGGGCTTCTATGGCCCCACTTCTAAAGAGTCTGCTTCTGTAGGGTCTAGGAGTCCGCCTTTTAATACTCCCAGGTGATTCTAATGCATGTGGTCTGGGAGCCATGCTTTAAAGGAGTAACGACCAGCCAGAGTGGGGAGGGCAGGCAGGCAGGCAGGCAGGAGATGCTGCTGAATGCCATCTCTGAAGAGCTAGAACCCGTTGCCTAGCAACCCCCACTGTTGAGGCATACTTGCCAGGTTAAAAGAGATCTTTTCCAAGAGCCGTAATGTTGACATTAACCTAGTAAGTCAACTGTTTAATGGGGTGGACTTATTTAACCACTAATGTGCAGGTAGGGACCTAAAATGACTTTCCACTGACAAATCACAGCAGCTTCTCCAAAAGGTAAACTGAAAAGACAACCACCAAATCATGCTAAGGTTTTATTTAAAATGTAAAAGAAATAATTCTGAAAATGCTGATGAATAAAGCAAAAGGACACCGTGCTCTCTTCCTACGAGTCAGCCAGCCAGCCTCTCCACGTACGGGACAACAGACAGTACTTAAGTGCTGGCAGAAGTTCACAGTAGTTTAGTGGTAGATTATCTGTGCCTAGAGGGTGTAGAGGTTCTCAGTGTGTGATCTTGGTTCTGGGCTTACACCTTTACTGAGCATGAACGAGGGCCCCTGCTCCTTGGCCATAGCCAAATCCCTTGGGTCCAAAGTTCTTTGCATAGCATCCTATAAAAGAAAAAGAAGAATTAGTAGAAGACCATTAAGCTTTGGTAGCATTGCTTAAGACCCAGGAAACAACAAACCCCTCTAAGTTAAAAAAAAAAGTTTGCCATGCCCAAAAGAGTTCAACCTATTGAAGATCTAAAATGAGTGATGTAGGGGCGCCTGGGTGGCTCAGTTGGTTAAGAGGCTGCCTTTGAAACAATGAATCATGGAACACTACATCAAAAACTAATGATGCAATGTATGGTGATTAACATAACTAAAAAATTTTAAAGAAAAAAAAAAGAGGCTGCCTTTGGCTCGGGTCATGACCTCAGGGTCCTAAGACTGAGCCCCACGGTGGGCTTCTTGCCCAGTGGGGAGTCTGCTTCTCCCCCTGCTGTGCCCTGCTTGTGCTGTCTCACTCGTGCTCTCTCTCAAATAAAATCTTTAAAATAAAATGAGCCATGTAGTAAGTATCTTAGAGCTGCAAAGGCAAGTCCAAACATTCTGATGCCACAGTATTCAGCTCCTGGTCCCACTTGAGTTATAAGCATAAAAATCGGGCCGGGCAAGTGACGTATTTGTCTATTACCTTCATATATTCATATGCTTTGCTGAAAACATAAATTTGAAAGAAGACTCTTTATAGTGAGGTTTTTTGTCTTATTGGGGACTCTGAAATGACCAGAACTTAACTTTATTGTACCATCTCAAATTGTTCTGTGGTCCTCTGTTCTTTGTAAGCATCTCTAGAGCCTTTATTTTCTTATTTTTTATTATTATGTTAATCACCATACATTACAATCATTAGTTTTTGTTGTTATGTTAATCACCATACATTACATCATTAGTTTTTGATGTAGTGTTCCATGATTCATTGTTTGCATATAACACCCAGTGCTCCATTCAGTACGTGCCCTCTTTAATACCCACCACCAGGCTAACCCATCCCCCCACCCCCTCCCCTCTAGAACCCTCAGTTTGTTTCTCAGTCCGTAGTCTCTCATGGTTCGTCTCCCCGATTTCCCCCCTTCATTCTTCCCTTCCTGCTATTTTCAAATAGCCAGTGGCAATCCCACCTTTCCCCACTGTCAAGAGTATCTTTTTTCTTTTCAGTGCTGGTGACATTTCCTTAACCAATAACCAGTGTGAGATACTCAGATGGACAGTAATAACAAATTCATTTTACCTTTACAATAGATTTCACCTTCTTTCTCAGTCAGGGTTGTGGATTCAAGACTCTTCCCACACTTGGCACAGCGGAAACAGTTTTTGTGCCAGGGCTGGAAGAGAAACTGAGTTAAGTCTGAGAGGTCGGTTTCTTGCAGTACAGTTGAGATGCTGCAGCAAGTGGCTCACAAAGATCAAGCCAGTGCGAGCTCCTGACTGCTGTGGTTCTGCTCCAACAAAAAGCCTGGAACTGGACCTCCCCATACCTACATTCCTGGTCACCTGCAAAAGGGCCGAGTTCAAACTTCGTTCACAGAAGACATGGGCTTGGAGCCCCACCACGCAAGGGCTGTTTCCCCAAGAGCGGTCTCAGACCTTGCCGCAAGCACAGCGTGCTCCTTTAAAGACTGTCCCTTTGATGGCTGAGAACAGCTGCAGCTCAAAGAGGTGAAGTGGTTAAGTAGCTTTCTCGAAGGCACACAACGAATGAGCGTTGGGTGCCCTGACCCTGGTTCCCCACTACCTGGAATAACCCACAGAGTCCAAGTGTGTTAACCGTAACAACCTTCAGGAGTGCCCCTTAGGAAAACAAGTTTCTTTCAGACATAGATGTGATTTGTCAAGCAAGGGCATCACTTCAAAAAGTTAAATGATTCAGATGGCAATCTGAGAAAAATGTGAATCCAAGGCATTTATTTATTTATATGAAGAGTACCTGAAGGGGCTGGGAAGGGGACAAGGGAGAAGGGGAGCGGAGAGCAGTCATTCACGGCTACTAACTCAAGATAGCACTGTACCTTTCCAGCTCCGATGATCTTCTCAGCAGCATACACAGAATCCCCACATCTGGAACACTTCTCAGCACCTCCGTATTTCTGAGCAAATTTGGAAGTGTTTGGATTTGTTGTAGGCCTGTGAGGTTGAGCACTTGTAGAAAGGGGGAACAAATTAGGCAAGATTTACCGAAGGCCCCTTTTAGCCTACAAGGCACATGCAGCGGGAAGCGGGGGCTTCACTGCTCAACTGCCCACAGCCGGCGGCCTTCTTACAGGTCAAAGAAAGAAGGACTGAATCTCATGGGCTGGCCAGCTGGTACTTTAACCTATTTATGGGCTCATTTCTGCCCCAAAAGACAGACGAGGCCCCAAACTTAAGTATCTGAGTCTAAACTCAGAATTTATCGAATCCCCAGTGCTTGCCTGTCCACTAAACAATTATGCTTTGCTTTATAAAAACCTACAGTGGACATATTTTTACCTTATATTCATAGTACCGTTCATATTACCGAATCACAACTAGTTTTTTTTTACTTGACCAGAGTTTGAAAACAATCACTGTTAACCTAAGCAGTTGAAAGTTTCTGCAAACAGGTCAGTGGACTTAGTCATCAAGAAAGTTAAGCATGATTTACAGATTAATTTCCTAATATACCTTAAGTAGGAGAAAGTGTGAATAAACTGCTTTCTTCATGGAAAAATATTTTAGAAAGTTTGCCTATTACTGTATGATGTTTACTTTTTCTCTGGCTAGAGTTTTGTCACTTATTTACAAGTCACTGGGTAAACTGTTTTCCTCGCTTTCTCTAATGTTTTCCCCCTTCAATATGTAGGTGTATCTACTCCGCAGAACGGTGTTTTGGGCTCTGAGATTTAAAGACCCCTCAAATCCTGAGCAGATAAGAGGACAACAGCTCGGGAAATGATACAAGTGCCCCATTTTTCCTATTGGAAAAACGGGTTTTTTTCCTCATAGTTTAAGTTACATACATATTTAAAATAAAATGTTAATTTAGAAATACTGCCTTTTCATGAAACAATGTATTCAAACTCTTCACCTATGTCTTCCATTTGTTCATCTCCACTGTATCCACGTTTGGGCCATCTCACAGTTTCCTACACATCCACGTGAGGGGTTTCAGATACATTTTTTGAATCATGTTTGCTGCGGCCACTGGAAATTTTATTCTAAGCAACAAATACAAGTGCATTACTGACTCACAATATGGGTGTTTCCAATTGTCCCTAACGTATGCATATTTTTTAAAAAAAATCTCTACAACCAACTGTATTTACTTTCTTTTAAGAGTGATCTTCAAATGCTATTCACAATGATATCCAACATTTGGAGTTAGGAGTTTCCCTGGAAAAATTTCCAACACATTATGTTAATAAGAACTTAATGGAGATCCTCTCCCACCTCCCTGCTAATGACATCACAGGGTGTGGATAATTGTTTAAACTCATGACAAATGAAGAAATAGGGGCTCAGATATCACATAACTTGTTGGACAGCTAGAGAAATAGTAAATTGGTGAGTCTGAACTGAAAAAAAAGCAGTTCTGCCCCAACGAAATGTTCCTGCGCATGCAATGCTGTCTCCCCGGGACATCCCTGTGAAGATATATGGTCCACATATGTTATCATTACCATGTCCCACAGGGTGCTCCAGACCACGGGCACTCCCAGAATTCAGTCACTAAGAGAGGCTTCTGGAAAGGGAAGTCTACATCTGGCCCTAGTATGTGGCCAGGCTACGATGGGAAGAGACAAGGGCCCAGATCGACAGGCCAGCACAGAGGGCTTGTTAATTATTGGAGAAGGTGGTCTTTGTGACTCTAAAACTATGGCCGCAATCACTGACTGACTTTTGGGATTATGGATGTATTTGGTTTCGTTTGGGGGAAGGGATATAGATGTATGTGTTTTGGAAGATTTGAAATAAAACCTTAGAAAACAAGGATAGATTTTAACAAGCTGGAAAAGGAGAGCAGAGCAAGAACAATGAACTTCAACAAAGACCAAGGTAAGCTGGGCTCCCACAATGGCATGCAGCATTGAATGAGTCAGCCCTTGTACACAAGGCACCATGACTCAGAAACTCCGAGTGTGGGAAAAAATGAAAGAACAGACAGGTGGGCCTCGATGCAGTGGAAAGAGCACAGGTGTGGGAGCCGAATGGACATGGAGTCAAATCCTGGCTGTGTCACTTACCTGTGTGACCTGAGCCTTAGTGTCCTGTCTATAAAATACAGACAAAATATCTAAACTCAGACTTAACTGTAAGGACTATAAAAGGAACATAAATGTTCAGCAGACAATAGACACAAATTATTTCAGGCATACCATAATGCACCGTGTTTAAGATCGAAGATTTGGAGTTACACTAGGTTAATTTCCAGGCTCTACAATTAACTAGCAATATGACTATAGGCAGATCGCTTCATTTTCATTGTCTAAATTTGTTGAGTAAGATGGGAAACCCTACTTTGTCAGGTTGTTGTGAGGATTATATGAGGTAACGTGTTAATATTGCATAGTGGCCAGGTCACAGGGCAAGATGAATGGTCTTGTCCAACAAAAGGCCATCTTACTGGAATATTACGTCAGTTTGGGCCTCTTCAGTATAAAATGGATGTGAAAAATTTGAAGTTCAGATGAGGGAATTATTGGGCCAAAAATAGGAGTTAAGAGGAAATTATGAAAATGAAAAAATTACATAGCCTGCACATGAAATACTAAGTGAAGTTGAACAGGGTTAGCACTTTGCTATTTTGGTACTGGAACCTTTTACAATTTAATACTGATCTCTCAAACAAAAACAGGAAATAATTTCCATTTTTACGTAAAAATTCGTAAGAGAAAAGTCATTGCTTGGTGAAATATTCTTACATGGGAGGAGTGACTGAGGCCTTTTCATTGACTGTTTAATTGCACCTGAGAAATGCATCTCATGATTCAGATACTACATTTCTGTGTCATTTGATTTCATGACATCTGATCTCTAAAACACTGTGAGATGGAAGTAAATGTAAACCATGTGCTTTTGAGAACATGACTCCTTGATACACTGAAGAATGCTACAAAATCAAGGCTAGAAATCACTGGAATAATCAATAAGAATTTTGTTAGGTCCCAAACTGTCCATTTCAAGCTTGAAGAATAGTTAACTCATTTATACTAGAAAATTGGAATAATTTTGTGTTCAATTATCTTAAGCTAAACATCTGTTCTGTCCCAGACTCCTGTTCACCAAGCAACATTAATTGTTATGACTCTTTTTCTGAAGGTAACAAAACAGGGTCCTAACTCACCTCTCTGGCTTGATGCCCAGCCTCTCACCCCGGTCCATGTTGAGCGTGCCGGCGCCCTGGCCGTAACCATAACCTTTGGGCCCATACTTCTTTCCGTAGCAGGATTTGCAGTAGATCTCCTCATCATGAATTGCCACTGTTGTGCTATCTAAATTTTTCCTGCAAACCACTGAGGGGGAATAAGTTAGACCTTTAGAAACGTGCCAGAGATGCCTTTTTCCTTAGAACAATGGTGGCCCTGACACATGGTCTACAAATGGTAAAGGCATAGGCTCTCTCACATTCCTTTTTCTTCCGTGGTTTCCCAAACACCAAGGACAGCATCTGGACTGGGTCAGCTACAGCTGAGGACGATTTGCCCTTCTCTGCGGATAGGATCGTTGTTTCAGAAACAGACCAGAATTGTAACAGCCCGAAGCCTCAACCTTTTCTATAGATAGGCTTGGCCTCTCTGGGAGGAGGGAGAGAAGTTCGGAGATGGCTATAATTACGTGAACAAAGGGAACAATTAACGCGTTGCTCCCCACCCTCAACACAATCTTTTCCACCTCTTCCTAGTATCACCGAAATCACAACCTAACAAAGAACCAAAGGGTGGCTGAGTGCCTTGTGGGAGTTGGCTCTGCAGCCCTCCTCCCCTAAAGAGCACTCCCGGCATAAAAACGGCTTTCAATCCAGAATTGTAGTTTTCATCATGAGTCTAGAAGGGAAAAAGCATTATGTTTTCATCTCGCCACTGGCTTCTCCAGCAGTGATGAGTATGTCTGAAAATCGTAAAGTGGTTTGAAGTCTGCATTTGTGTTTCCCTTCTGTCCCCAAAGAGAACACATTCTTTCTTGATGGTTTTCTTGCCACAAGACATTTCCACGTATCCCACTTCATAAAACTGCCAAATGTCATCATGTTTTACCCAGACATTATTTCACTTTCTAAAACTTCACTTAAGCTTGCGAAAAAAGGAAACTATGAGGGAACTTGCTGGTAGCTCAGCTGGGCAGCTGGAGATCGAAGATTAGGAGACAAGGGGATTGTTTCCCTCCTATTTCAAAGGGTGGGGGGCGGGATGCAAGGAGGAAAAAACGAAGGACAAAGACCGGGGGGGGGGGCAGGGAAAGGCGACTGAAATAGTTAAAATTACAAAGTTTCTGTTAAGACTACCGTCTTCTCTGGTAGAAGAGAATGATGTCATCTACTCTGGAACCCTGCCGTTGAGGCTCAAGAACTGAAATACATTTGCTGGAAGACACCGTTCACCTAAAAGCATACATTGCTAAAGAACAAACACCCTTAACAGAATACGTAAAAATACAAAAACTGTTTCAAAGGCCACATATCTATTAACCAAAGGAAGTTCATGAAAACTTTACTGTCACTATCCTTCCTTCCTTCTGTCCTCATCTCTCTATAGTAAAATTCTCCTAGGTTTGCAAACTGCTCCGAATTCTATCCGTAACAGGCTTTAGTTAGCAGAGACCAATACTCAGAAGTAGTAGTAAAATCGCCATTAAAGAAGTTGATGTTAAGTAAACAGTGACTTTATTGCGGTGGAGAGACTATCCTGGCTTAACGTGGATGAAGCTAAGAACAATTTCTCAAGTATCTGTATTTCTTCTTTGTTCACATACTCTTGGTTTCAAACCTGCTGAAAAATAGAGTCCTAAAAAAAACCGCAAAAAACAAAAAAGTAACTTCTAAGAGAAGAACTGCTTAAACCAGATCTCAGACATGGTAGCTATTATGGGGGCCTACACAGTAAACATATGTTGTATTTTTATCCTCTGTAACTGCGACTTTCTGCTGTCTGTTTCTAGTTGCCTGCAAAACAGCTACACTGTAACAAGGTCCCGACATGTTGAATGCTGGTGCCTAGAGGGAGAAGGACAACTAACCACACTTAATACAAGCAGTTTCTAGCAATAATCCTCACTGTACAGGACTACAGATACGTCTGCACGTACGGGTGGGTTCTTACATTAACAAATCGCTCATCAAAGAAAATTTTGTCCTTTGAGTCAGGAGATGATGCTTAATGAAGAGCTTTCTGAAGCGGCTTCTCTCCTGCTTGCAACTGAAGGCTTAGTTGTCACTAGAGGGGGCATGCAGGGGGAGGGGGCCTGTGTCTCCTTCTGTGTCTTACTGTCAGCAAACAGGCGTGTGCTTCATGCCCTCCTTTCTGTTCTATCAGACGCTGATAATTTCCCATCTAGAAACAGTAATTCCCAACTTGCCTTGATGGGATTTTCATACCCTATGTTCCCTTCCCTCAATTAGGAAGGATATCAATAACCAGAAATAACTCTGAATTTTCACTATCAGAGAAGATGGGAATTTCACTTCTAGACATTTGATTTCAATGAGTCCTGGTGTGCCAAGAAACAAGTGAGGAGGTTTCAAAGAGAAGGGGCCCCGCCAGGAGGAGAAAGCTGGGGTGGGGGGGGTGATGCGGAGCGACCTGCTGACTCAGAAATCAGAGCCCAGCCCTTACCCTGTGCCAGAAGCCGGGCCCAGCGCCAGGCTAAAATCGACACTGAGCTCTTCGCAAAGCAGGGGAGACAGAAGGGAGAACAAGTAAAATCCAGTGAGGGCCCAGTGGAGGCTAGGAGCGGTGGGGACACGGCAAGGCCTCATGGAGCCGGTCACCCCCGCCGTCCGTGCCGCCATGCAGAGCCTTCACGCTGTCTGGGACAGACAGGCAAAACCCGCCGGCGCTTCTAACATGATCTTCGTTAACATCACTACAGTGTCTGGTTAAACAGGTAAATGGAGTCGTGTTACACATGCGTCCAGTGAGAGGTCAAGCACCGGGAGCTACTTACTGCACAGAAAGCAGCAGCGGTGGAAGCTTCTCCCGTCACACTGCACCTCCTCTGCGTGGTACACGGTCCTCCCACAGGCCCCGCACTTGTTGCCACCTCCCCAGACGGGCATTCTGAAGGAATAAAGGATTCGTGAGAATGTCCCTGCACCCTACGAGACGCCTGCCACGCTTCCAGGGTGCAGCAGCAGATTCTGTTTCTTTAGGCACTGCTCGGACCACCTCTGGAGAGGCCTGCGTTCCTCCAGGACCGCCTCCTCTAACTGCAGCTCCATTAGCGAACTCTGGCTCGTGGGCACAAGCGCTTTCCCGCAGGACAAAGGAGCTGCGTCAGAATGGTACAGGTTGCCGGGCACAACCCAGACAAGGCCACCAGCGTCCCGGGAGCTAAGAAAGGAGAGTAGGAGTGGGAAGAGAACACTGGCGTCGCCCCCACCCCGCACCCCCATCTTAATGATGGGTTCGGAAAACTCCGCTGAAGAATACACACTTGGGGGAGAGGTTTTCATTGCCTCTTTAACTCACTGTAACACCAGCAGATTCTTAACATATACCATACACAAGCTGTGACACTTTCGAGGGAGGAAGAAAGTGTCGAGTTGCTCTGCAAGAACTAGCCTTCTGTTGGTCCGCTGGAGTCATGCAAGATTACGGCATCAACAGTTGGGTCTGTGACTCTACAGCCGCATGCATGGAGCCTTGCTGTAACCACAACAGACAGCCCTCCAGATGGCTATGATTTAGGTTCCTGCTTCACTAATCCCCAGGCCCCCAGCCCAGCCAGGAGTTGTTGAACCCCCTTTGATAGGCCTGCCAGTCGGTACAGAAGGGACTACCAATTCCCTCCTCGGCAACGTGAAGGGTCTGGCGAGGCCGTCTGAGCACCGTGACCTGCCTCTGTGGGACAGCTCCAAGTTGAAATCCTGCTATCTTGCTAGGATGTAGGGCCAACGTGTTCTAATCTCCCTCCTCAACGACCTGGGAGCCGTTTAAAATGCCTACTTCGGCATGGCCATGTGCACAGTCAGCTGTCTCTGCAGTCCAGAGTTGTCCTTCAGGGACCGTGTGTTTTGTCTGCCCTGCCCTGAGAGGTATCTAAACACACTTTCTTCCGCACCATCATTGTCAGACTTCTCTTATGAGTGGTATTTGCAGCCCTTGGTGGTGAAGTGTCCTTGGACGAGATGCACGCCTCTCCGGGACATAGCTGGACGAGAAACAGAGACCGCCTTCCTAACTCGGCCGTGGCTAGCTAAATAAGGGAAAAGGAGGGCTGCTTCACAATCCACTGAAGAATCTTCAGTCCTTAAAAAGGAAGGTGGTAAATTCCCATCCTCCTGCCCATCCTATAGCATTTAAATGATCCAGAACCCAATGACTCCCTGAACACTGTGATGAGGGCTTTCTGAAAGCAAGCCGTACAGAATCAGTCATTGTGTTGGGCACATTTCTGGACGTACGGCATTCTCTTGACCTTCCGATCACAGCTTCCCCAGACTTTCTCTGGGGGAGCAAGCATCTCTTTCTAGGTCCATACGCTTCAGAGCAGTCTTTATTAAATGTGGTCTCCTTGTGATGGTCCACCACGCCTGGTACCAATTCAAGATGAAATTCAGGTGGGAATTTAGAAACTTTAAACAATTTTATGCCCCAACAATCAAGAGCATGATCAGTGGACTCATCTTGTTGAACAGCATAGAATCAGAGAATCAATGTGTACTTGGAAATTAAAACAAAACAAAAAATGGTCCTCTACCAGATAGTTTGAGAAACACTTGTTTAAAGGGTATTGACTCTACCCTCAACTCCAGGGCTGGGCATGTGACTTGGTCATGGCAATTAGGTCCCTGCGGGCCCCCAATCCCCATCACAGTGATTGATGTGCGAATGGTCACATGACCCTAAGGCAGGTCAGGGAAAGTTAAGCCTGGGGGCTTTGGTTTAGGTCTGCGTGGATGCAGGGGTGGAGATGCTAGCAGCTGTCTAGCCATTGTAAGAAAAGAACCTAAGGATGAAGCCAGCACAGAAGAAAAGAGATGGAGAGAGTAGGCTTAGACACTTTTCAGCTGCATCTTGTCTTATCCTAGGCGCTATGGGAGCCAATAAATTGCCTTTTCGAGTCATTTGGAGGTGGAGCTCCTCTTCCTTGAAACAAACACATACAAAGAGACTTGACCGATAGGACTAGTTATCACTAAACTGTTGGCCTCAGCTTGCAAAACGCCTCCTTCTTATTCAGACAGGACCAAGGTAATTCCAGGGGTCCACCAACGTCATCAGCTACTGTGAAGGCATCTATAGAGGATGAATAACTAGCAACAAGGGAAGAGATCTGCAAGCTTTCCTTTAGGTAGTTGCATAAATCTGTTATTCCCTTCCCTAGAGACAGGTGCTCCATTGTTTAACTCCACAGTGAAATTTGAGCCTGACTGTAGAACCTCAGCCACAAAGCCCTGGCTCCAAAGGCCCTCCACTGGCTGGAGTCTGGAGTGCATTTAGTAACATGGACTTTGCCCCACGGCTCCAAAGTTACCAGAGTTCTGGAATGCTCATAGAGGCCACAGACATCTGCTGGCAGTACCCTCGTGATTCCAGAAGAAACCTAAAACCAAATCCAGGCCTGTAGGTAATGACCTTACAGTTACTTAAAATTGGATCCCAAGCATCAACAGCCCGGCTGGCTTTGGAAATACTTTGTGATTGTCAAGGCATTTCTCATCATATGAGAAAGTGTACTAGTTATTATCAACGTGTATTTTACATTTTCACACATATTTACTTTGGTGCTATTACCAGTAAGGAACCAGATTTCCATCAAGACTAATGCCCTCTTGGGTTATCTTTGAATAGCATTTAAAAGCACATTTTTCAAAAACAAACTCATCACTTTATGTTATTCTCTATTAAAAAGCAGCTTGGATTTTTAAAAAGGGATTTTAAAAAAGGATTTTTCATGTAATTTTATGTAATTCAGTTACTTGAATTCATTTCTTATAAGTCAAGTCTGATTTCTACTGCCCATGCCACACCAGCCAAATGAGTCACTTTTCAGGAAATACCCATCAAAGTGCTGCAACATTCAGCCTTCTATGTTAAAAGTCTTTTCCCCTCTAGGGTGGGGGCCACATCTCTGTCTTCCCCATACCATCTCCCAGAGTACTTGGCACATGTCAAGATAACTTGTGTTTTATTGAATTGTTTTAAAGAATTCCCCCTTTTTCAACCTGTCTGTACAGTTCTCAGTCCGATCTTACGCTGATCAAGACAAAGGTAGCACTGGTCTACTTCTCTTTGTCACATTTTTGGATTCTAAGTAAAATTTCCAAGTCATTAACATTTTAAAAGTTCCATCCAGTTTCAAGGCTTTCGTAAGGATTTCTGCATACCCCTCTCTGTGGTCCAAGCAAACGGTATAATAGAAAGAGCATCCTCACAAAGCTTCAGCTGCAGTTATGCTCTCTTTTTTATGTTGGATACTGAGTAGTTGGGTGTTCCTCATAGGATTCTCTATTTTGTGTGTCTGAAATATTTCAGCCTGGAAAGAAGGGAGGGAGGGAGGTAGGGAGGGAGGGAGGGAGGGAGGAAGGTTGGTTTGGGTATATCTGGGTTAACATCACTGTTAAAATGGTTCTGCAAACTTGGGCTTAGTTTTCTCATCTGTAAAATAGGGAAAGGTAGCTCTCTCTACCCAATGGAGATATTGTGAAGATATAAGAAGGTGAGCAAATGTTTTGGCAAACACCCAGTAACTGTGAGCTTGAAAATGGAAGGGGCCTCTCATAGTGTCCATCCTGCTGTAAGTACTCCAGTAAGGAAGCCCGCTAGAGAAAAGCATAGGTCAGAGCCAAACACGGTGAAGAGAAAACTTAGCTGATATACCTTCTTTGGGAACATTCAAACACTGCAAGAGTGATGACAGTTCCATTTGTGGTACCGAAGAAATGAAGTTCAAATTTACACTTTTAGGGTGAACCCCAATGGAGGAAGTGTGATGATCTTCCATTTCTGTCATTCTTGGCATGGCTATGCCTAGAACCAAATTCTAAAGCTTTGGGGTTCCTATAGGCCTTTGGCTGCACCACTCCACGAGGGCTGACGTTAATCACGGCAAACTGGATTTGCACTGAGCAATCTGGGCTGCATGCCTTTCCCCAGTCCTATGCATTAATTTACAGAATGGTGAGAGGAGAAATGAAATCTCACTTTGCACATACCACGCGAAAGAGGCCAAACACAGGCTTATTCTGTTTCTCCGTCTGTTCTTTTTCAGTGTGTGAAAGTTCTAACACTAGGATTTATCTGCTGTGTTAGACTAAAAAGCCTGGTTTACATCTGAACACCTACATGCAGTTTCTCTTTGCTGCTTCTCCCCAGGCAAAGACACCACCCAAAATTTCCTAAGACTTATCCCTAGGAGAAAATTACTATCGTCTAAATCTGAGTCACCTTGTGGTAAAGTTACCTCATTCTCTAGATAATCAACAAAAGCTGCAGAGTGACCACATGGATCATTCTCACACCACCTGTTCTGCATTTAGCATCTTATTTTAGAATCTAAGTGTCTTGAATCCACGAGTCTAGAGTCTACATGTCGCCACTTGCAGTGTAAGTTTTTTGCTCGGATATTAGAGGTTTGGAGTGAATTGTCTATAAACCCAGATTCTAAATACTTCCAGAAGCTTTGACATTTTATTACTACATACAGGGTTTTGTTATTACCCTAGATCCTGGCTAGAATCCAATTTCCCAAAAGGGGGATTTATTATAAACCAGTTTCATCTTGAGACACATCCAGAGGGGTCACTAGTGAAAGAATATATAAGTTAGTAGGATTGTCCCAATTACAATGATTTTTAACAGAGTTTGAGAGTTGTAAGTTAATTGGAAATTAAGCTTTACTCAATGCCCATTCTAAAAATGTTTCCTTCTACTTAACCAAACTATCTGGTTAGTCTACTTCCCATATCTAAGTGAATACCACTGAACCAAGGCTAGACTTCGTGTCTTAGTGATCAGCTCCATGTTCCATTTGGCTCCTTCTACCAAAGCCAAATCTTCAAGACAGCTCAGCCTAAGGGTGAATTCAGAGCATGGATTTTGGAGTCAACACAGTCTCATTTCCTTCACATGTAAAATGAGGATAATGTGCCTTTCTTATAGACTTATTGAGAGAATGAGATGAAAACATGCTTATAGGAGGCCCTCAATGTATAATGATATACTCAAGGTAAAATGTTTTGTTATCAATCCTCATCTCCCACTCATCTCATAGAGCCATTCCTTCATGATATTTCTAAATCCCTCCCCATCAGGGCAACTGACTTTCTGCCCTCCCTCATCCAGCTAAATCCTAACTTCTTTTCTGTATTGCAAGTAATTCTTCTAGGGTAGGGGCAGCTAAGAAACACTGTACAATGCTTTCCTGTCTGAAGATTTCACATAAGTGTATTCATCCAGCATTTCATAAGCCATTTCCTGGGTTAGGAACTGAGGCTGAAATGGTTGGTTATAAGGAAGGGGGCCAGTTCCTCCGGGAGTTCTGCTTTGGTGGCAGAACGATGGAAACAAATAATGGCGCTACCACAGAACCTATGACATAGAGGCATGTAGAAAGGGATTCTACATGTGTCTGCAGAGTGTACTTGTACAGGGATGGCAGAAACCGGTTCATCTTGTAGATTTACTGATAGTGGGCTCCTGGAACGACGTTCGAAAAGATTCTGAAGTTCCGTCAAGATGCTGCATTAAAGATGGCTATGATTACGAATGTCTGCCATGGAAGCTGCAGTGTGTGTGCCAGACTTAAGACATTCCTGGTGTAAGAGAAAGAGCGTGGAACTTAGGTATAAGGTTGAAAGTCAGTCAGCAGCTCTGTGATCTTGGCCAAGTTCCTTAACCTCAACTTCCTCGCTATACCTTGGAAACAGATGACAACGGTCTCTCATTGGGTGGTTGGAGGATTCAATAAGATAACATTTGAGGTACCTGGCAGAGAGCCGGTACTCCACAAACCCCGGCTTCCTTTTCCTTCAGCAGCACTGCGGGGCCTGAATCTGGCTACCAGAAGTTCAGGCGTTAGGTGACCTACTGAGGTCACTGACCTCTAGACATGCAGATCTGGGCTCCACTCACTCCTGTCTGACTCCAGAACCACAAGGTGTCCCCCAAACTCCCATATCTGATGGAAAGGTTGAGACCATCTCCGATCACCTGAGAATGACCAATCAGTCCTCGAGTTACCGAATTCGTTGTACACAGGAATGCCTTCCTCTCTGACCAGTCTTCATGGATCCAGCTACCAGTGAGTGTCTTCTATGGGCCTGTCTCACACCCAAACTGCTACTCTCAACCAAAAAGCTCTCTACCCCTCCTCTCTGCCTCCCTAAGTCTATCCTCACTACAGAGGAATTCCCTCCTTCTCCCCAGTAAGTTCTCCTGTGTTCACCTCAGCCTCACCATTATTACTAATTCTCTATCCTGTTTCTACTTTTGTCTTCAACATGGGGTACAGCAAAATCCTTGACACAGATTTGGATACTACTTGCCAAATCACATTGCAATTAGAGTGCAACTAGGCTAAAAATGTGTTCACCATGACCCCCAGCATCTGCCATAGCAATCCACAATCTGTACGAACTGCAGGATTTTTAATTATTCAAACAATTTAACGTTTGTGTGATTTTTACATGGAGTCAGACTGAGATTTTATATGCCAAGACTACTGTTTATTTGCCAAATGATCTGATGTTGGTTATTTGATCTGCTAGTTTTATCATTTTCAAAAGAGATAATGCTTATTTATATCATAAACTAGTTCTGAGATTAAACAAAAATGGAAAGCATTTAGAATACTGCTTGCCACATGGTAATAATAATTACAAATACTTATATAAAGCTTACTATATGTGTTACTTATATTAAGTAGTTTACTTATACTAACATTTAACCTTTATCACAGTGAAAGGAGACATTATCATTACACCCATTTTATGGGTGGAGAAGCTGAGGTATAGAGATATCGAGTGGCTCGTAACTGTGAAACCAAAATTACCAATTCAATTTAAAAATCAACACCAATAAAATTCAAATAAGCTATAGAGTTTGTTTCATTGCTGTTTTGCTAAAAGTAAACCACTGTTGGCAACACAAATCTAGTACTGACTTCTCTGGCTCTGGCGCAGGTTCTTTTTAAATTGGGCATTTCTTGTACTATGTGAGGATCCAATTCTCTCTTCACTTTTCTCTTGCAGAAGTACTGTGAAGTCACCATGAAACCTTCTTTCCTATAGTGAGCTGGGAAGCTGTTTGGCCCTAATGTATTTATTACCTGGCATCTGTCGTCTTTTTATTAGTGAAGGACAATTAGTAGTACCGTTGGCACAACGAGATAGTAAACAAAAAGGCAAGGAACCTGATATCCTCTGCAAATCATTCACAGTGTAATTCTATTGGTTCTTCCCCTTGACTTACACCAAAACTTAAAATTTTTTTTAACAATCAAAACTTGTGCCAGGTTCCTCCACAATCTAATCTGAGAAAACTCCCAAGTCAGGGTTCTTAAAGTGGGACCACGGTTTCCTTGGAATAATTGGAACTGGTGAACTTGGTACCATGGACTTTATTTTATGCACTTAAAAACATTTTGAGAAAGGGTTCACACGTTTCACTGGATGGCCAGAAGGGTTCACCACACAAAAACAGTTAAGTATCACCATCCTTGGGTAATCAAGGCCCCAAGGGAGTCTAGAGATCCCCACCCAACAGAACCCCAGGGCTGCCATGCATATACCAGCCCCGGAAATGACACAGTGCCTGGAGGAAACCTGTGAATATCTGCAAAGGGAAGAAACCTGCTCCCCAGGCAAGGCCAGTAGATACTGTTCAGTTCAGGCTTTCACTGAGAGCCATTTCCCCATATAGTCAACAAAGTTCACAATAGTGTCTAATGACAAGGAATCTCTCCCTGGCTGAACTGGGTTTTGTTCAAGGATCAAGATCAATATGCCTTATGACAACCCTGGTGTACATGCTATTACATCCATTTTATGAGATGAGGTAACAGAGGCCAGAGAGTAAAGTAACTTGCCCAAGGTCATCAAACCAATGGGTGCTGGAGCTGCAAGAGACTGGGGGAACTGGTCAGTCCTGCCCTTTTCACCAAGCCATGACACCAACCCCCTAGGAGGCTGGCTTTCCACAGCTCATTTGATTTACCTCATCCTTGGCAGAGAAGCAAAATCAGAGGCCCTCATTTCCATGGCCATGTAGTGGCAATGTTGAGGCTGGAGCTAGGCTTCTAAAGCTCCTCATTTATTGCCGTTCCCTCTATGTTATGTCAACATTCTTGCTGTTTTAGTATGAAATTGTATTTTATTGTATTAAATTGTGTGTAGTATAAAATTGTTTTTAGTAGAAAATACAATTTCCCCCAAATCCAAGTTATTTGGCAATTTCATCAGACTTCCAGTGAGTATTGTCTTTATCACAGTAGTTAGCATATCAGTATTTGTATCAATCATTATTTGAATACATTTGAAGGAATTCGTTAAAAATTTATAATCAAAAACTTTGATCAAATCTGCTAATGTTATCTATTGCCTGAGTCCAATGAAATATTTGTCCCCCACAATTGCAACCTTATTCCTTCCTTTCTTCATTCAATTAACCAATACTGGCTCTGGTCCAACTGTGTTTAAGGCACCCAGGCAAGTACTGTGAGTCTCAAAGACTGATGAGATGCAGATCCTGCCTCTTGTAATCTCACTCTAAAAGAGTAAAGAAAACTAGAATCCTGAGTAGAAAGAACACTGAGAAATACTGATCAAGTACTAGCAGCAGTCAACCTGAGAGAACAATGACCACGGATAGTGAGGGTGGACCAGGGTGGACTTCATAAATCAGTTATGGTTTGGTAGGCAGTTTTGAAATTACATGATTCATTTTTAGAATCCCACCTCACTCATCTCTTTCCTGAAAAATTTGAGTCAAATTATAGCCAAATTTGTGGTTGTCCTATTTGAGTTCTTGGCATTTCATAAGTAGAGCTTGAAAACAGGTTAATTAGAAAAGGACTAAAGAGATCGCTTTTACTGCCTGAGTTAAAAAACCTCTACCCCAAATTACAAGATTTTCTGTATTGAGAGCACATATAAAGTGAAAATGTGCTTAGCCTGAAGCCTGCAAATAAAACAGGTTAAACATTTTGGGTAACTATTTAAACAAATATCTTTCAACAAACGTCCGGGCTTGGGGAAGGGGGAGGAAGGTTGAGTGTCTCCCCGCTTAGAAACCCCCTCCCCCCAGGGGCTGCCTACGTGGAGCTTTGGAACTCAGGATGTGATTTTCAGGACCTGTTGCAGAATTTCACAACCAAGCATTCTGGCTTTCCTGTTTGTACCTGAATAGTAGAAAGTTCCGGAAAAAGCTGGGAGTGATCGACCTGATGTTTCACTGCTGTTCTTCAATATTTAAGGTTCAGCGCTTGGTGGGCAGTGACCACCAAACAATGGGGATGCCAGAAGCTCTGTACCGCAGCAGGGGAAGGATTCTGGGCTCAGCAGGCTATGGAAGCCCCCACCTCACTCCCAGGACTCCCAACCAGCCCCTGGTAAGGTCGCCCTCGGAGCAGCACACTCCGGGCAGAGGAGACCCCGAGACTCTGATCCCGCCCTCCCCTTCGCGGAGAGAGAACCGGCTGCTGGAGGAGGGGGCCCCAAACTACTAAAAAGCGGATTAGCAGCAACGCGAAACTCTCGGCCCCGCCTCTCTCCCAGAGAAACCGGTATGGAGCAACCCGTAGGGAGGTCACGCGCGAGTATTTATCTGCCCTAAGGGCTCGGGATCCGAGGACAGGGCCGGGGCGGCTGTGGGGAGCCGGACAGGTGTGTGGAGGGGGGCTGGGGGGACCGGGGCGCAGGAGTGAGGAGGATGGGGGAGCAAGTGGAGATTGGGAAGGGGATGTCAGAGGAGATGGGGGACCGCCAGCAGGACGTCCTGAGGACCCCGGGAGACTGTGGAACCTCCCTCCCCTTGGGTAGGCGGAGGCGCCCCCTAACCTCCCACCCTCGTCACTACTCACTCGAGTCGGAGGCAGACCACGCACCGCCGGCAGAGATAGCAGAGCCAGACCAGAAAGAGCCCGCTGGCAGTCCGGGAACAGCGACGAAGCGAGCGCCCGCACCTTTTAAAGACTCCCTGGTGGGCGTGGCTTGTGAGCCCCGCCCCCGCCCCGCCCGGCGGATTCCTGGACCCGCTCGGGAGGGCTGGGGGCGTCTGGAGCGGGGGCTGCTCTCGGCTCAGCTTCGGGCTAGGGACCGAGAGACAAAGGGCAGAATCCCGCCTCTTCCTGCTGTTTCCCGCCCGCCTGGCATCTTCCCACGTCCCGAGGCCCCCCCCCCCCCGCTGGCCCTACCCCTCCTCCCTCCCCACGGGACCCGGCAGTTTCCAGAAGTGATTAGCAGTTGAAAAAGGAGACTTCCTTAACCTACAGAAAGACCGAGCCCGGAGACTGTCCAGTCGGGGAATAGCCCCCGCCGCCCTGAAACGTACCCTTCCCACCGCGGGCGCCAGTTCTCCTTCAGGAGGGAACAGTCCAAGGTCGAGGAGGCTGCCACAAGTAGAGAATCGGCCAAATCGGGGCTTTCCGCCACCCTCTCCCTTGCCTTATCCTTATAAGTAAACTCAACGTGATTAACTTCCCCAGTGGACAAATAGTCTCTGCTCCCATTTCCAGCTTCTGGGAATCCGCAACCTTCCTGTTCTTAAAGAGCAAAATATCTCATCTAGACTAAATAAATGACGTTACGAAAACGCCTCATTCCCCAAGTGTTTTGCTTTTCCCACCGCGAGGGCACACGCTGCTTAGGGGGGAAGAAACCTAAACCCAGCCAGAAGAAACCAGGGCACCGAAGGGTCCAAGGATGTCAGTGACCACGCAGGGGACCTCATACCTGAGCTGCAGGATGATTTATTGTTTTAGATGAAAAGAAGAACAATGCCGGCTCTATCTGGTTCACTTTCTAGGCCTACTGATGACCTTTGTGCCAGAAGCCACGATCCCTAAGAATTGATACATGGGAGAATGGGGAGCTGGAAAAAGGCTGTTACTGAAACTATTCCTCCAACCAAAAATGCAGAGCTTCTCAGCCTGAACACCTGACATTTTGGGCGGGGTAATTCATTGTAGTGGGGGCCTCCCCCCACCAGATGCCAATATTACCCTTCCCTCCACTTTGTAATCATCAAAAACAAAATTTGACTTTGCCAGATGCCCTCGTGGGGAGAGGGCCGAGGGCATCGGTTCAGAACCACATCTGCAGGACAACTTGCAGCACTGATACTATGCTGGGGCTAATCCAGGATAAACTCATTAGAATAGCAGCCTTATAGTCTCTGTCCACCAAGTACTGTGCAAAAACACATAGTGGTGACTGACATGTCCTGATATTGTGGCAGGAGTCTGGAAGTATTCCTGCCTGCTGTGAGCTTTTCTAAATATGGGCAATCCATATCTTCATGGTATCAGCTAATGTAAAAGTGACATGACTCCTGGGGCTGACGGGACGGTTCTGTTCTCAGATTCTACATTCACTCTAGCTCTGTTGCTTACAATACTTATTTTTTCTTGCACAGGTTTCTGTAGTGTTTCTACTGAATGAAACTCTGTGCATGTCACTGCTGTGCTGATTTTCAGCAAACCGTTGGTCCATTCTCCCCTACCCTTGGGTTCTTCTTGATGTCTCCAGGACCTGACCTGTTTGCTTTCTGAGGCTCATGTTGTCCCTAAATTTTACAGCCTCATTCTATCCTTTGAAGTTGGGCTTACTTCTAACCTAGAAGTATTTCTGCTCTCTGATCCTGTATGTATTTGTCTCAGCGTATTTTACAGTGAGTCTGGGGATAAAGTACAACATTTGATTTTGAATAAATCTGTATTTGTGTTTAATTATCAACATTTTAACAAGTATTTTATTTCCCTTTAGACATTTCTTTAAACTGTTGACTCTTTTCCTTGTAAATATTAAGAAATTATTTCAGATGATTAGAGAGAATGGTGCCAAAAGAAAGAGTATGAGCTTTGGAAACAAACTGATGTGGTTTCAACATACAGCCCTGCCACCTAATAGCTCTGGGAGCTTCGCCTAATACTTGACTTCTTCACATCTTTTTTCTTTATCTGTGAGATGATGATACTACACAACTCATAGGATTGTTTGGAGGATCAAATCAGATTATGTGTGTACAATGCTGTGTCTGGCTCATGGTAAATTCTCAATAAATGTAGGTTGTTATGTTAAGCAAAGCTATCTTGATGTCCTTTTCTGCTTTGAGAAAGAAATAGAAACTGTGTTTTGCTGAGCATTCGTCTTATGTTGTCTACTGAAAGGTTTGGTAGTAGGAAGGTATTAAGTGTTTCCAAAATAATTAAGAGCCCGCAATAGAAAGTAAATTGTGTGCCTGGGGAAGAGCTAGTGGGAGAAGAATAAGCCCTTCTGAATTCCATATGGTTCTAGTCTGTGTGACCCCTTCAGTCTTATAAGAGGCAAAATTAAAGGTTAAATGTGTCCAGCAGGAGGTTTCTTTTCCCCAAGAAATGCACATTATACTTGTAACAGCTCTCTCATTCTCTGGAACCCATTAAACAATTTCAAATGAAAGTTCTTCATCAAGGTCACTGTCCTAAGGCAAGTTGAACCAAGGTTGCTTTTCTTCATGACCTTGTGCTCAAGTTCAGATTTTTCAAATATTTTTATTATTTTTATTTCATGCTACTTTTTCTTAACAAAACTCTGAACCAGATGAGTGTGAATATAAACATAGAGCCTCTTTGTTTTATTTTAGGACAAGGATTCCTTCCCAGAAGCCAGCTAGGCTACGGTGAAGAGGAATTTTTTAGTATATGTGAAATAAAGGAAAATATAAATTCTCACTTTGCTAATCTACATGCTTAATGGATAATAATAATAATAATAAAAAGAAGCAGCTGTTCCATCTTATTTCTTAGCCAAGATTTAGCAGCAGTGGTAGGAATTAAAAATTACTCATACTCAAGCCTAATAGTCTGTGATGCATTTTCTGTCAGAGAAAAGAATCATGTAAGTTACATATGCTTAAATTTTGAAGGGTAGAGTATCTTATTCTTGGTATTTGTCATAGTTGCTTTTTTCGAAACTTATTTGAAACTCCTACTTCATTATAACTTGCATTATTTCTTACCCTTCTTTCTCCAAAAAATACAATATCCGGGGCACCTGGGTGGCTCAGTCGGTTAAGCATCCAACTCTTGATTTCAGCTCAGGTCATGATCTCAGGGTCTTGAGATCAAACCCCATGTCAAGAGTCAAGATTCAAGATTCTCTCCCTGTGCCCCTCCTCCCCCTCACGCTCTCTCAAAAAAAAACAAAAAAAAACAAAAAAACAAAAACCCACAACAAACAAACAAACAAAAAAACTATTTCCTTCAGTGCTATCAATTCCGTTACAGGATTACTGACGTTTTCTTTTCTCTCAGAGCTTTCTAGCTTTTCCAGCTAAGCTTATGTTTTCTTATGACAGCAGTTTTCCTAGTTGGACAAGTATGAGAAATATGGTTACCCTTAATCTCCAAGATGGTCTGTTCCATCCACCTTCTCTCAACCTCACGAATGCCCTATTTCACTCTTCTCCCTTATGTTCTGTTGGTGACCTCCCCTCCTTCATTCGCATTCCCAAGTACAGCCAACATTTGCTCAGCCTGCCTCCTCTAACTGGCTGTGTTTTCTCCCATGTTTATACTTGCTGTCCCCGATGACATCAGAGGAAGAGGTGGATCTCCAACCCCTTACCAAGAATATCCACTCCGAGGGTGTCTTCGATCCCATTTTTTAGCATTCTTAGTTACATTCTCTTGCTCTTCAATTCCTCAGTCTCTACAGCTTCTTTTGCTTTCACATTACAAAGCTGCTGTTATCTTAAAAATATCTTAAAAAGCTGGCAAAACTTCCTTGACTTTTGTAGTAGGTACTCGAGGTGGCCTCTCGATCATCTGTTCCTCTTTCCCAGAGGCCCAGGTCTCTGTGTGGTGTCTGTGTGGTTTCAGGGATATGCCTCCATAAGCCCTGGTCAGGTATGGACTCTTGGACCCCATCAAGGCCTTCCAGCCCTGGTTTGGATAGGGAGTGGGGGTCATGTGTGACCTAAACCCATCCTATCAGAGTGAATCTCTGAACTCTGGGGGATGCTGCCACAGAGCCATGCTTACATGTTCTGGAAAGTTCTGTGCGCATACATGAGGCCCAGAGTTGCTGCATTCATTTTTGCTGGTAGGAAGCCTGCCTGAGAATGATTGAACACAGAAAGGGCAGAGAAATGGAGCGGAGCTCTGAACAAAGGGCTCGTGAAGTTTGTCTTCCTGCAGGATCTTTTTGTTTTGGGAGCAAATGAATCCCCAATGTTGTTTATTTCTTTTTTTTCTTTTTCTTTTTTTAATTTCATTTTGAGATAGATTTTCTGTTACCTGCAATCAGGACTTCCAATTGATTGTGGTGGTTTAAAACTATGTCCACAAATTCTGTGATACTTCTCCCTTCATCAGGTGAAATTTCCTTTCCCTGCCCTGGAGCATGTGCTGGGTTTAGTGTCTTGCTTCTAGAAAACAGAATAAAGTGTATGATTCTAAGACTGAGTAAAAAAGGGCACGGCGACTTCGTTCTCTTTCATCCCTCTCACTGCCTTCTCTCTCCGTCTCTATCTCTCTCTGTCTCTGTCTTTTTCTCTCATCACTTGCTCTTGGGAAGCCAGCTGCCATGTCAGGAGGACACTCAAGTGGCCTTGAAGGGCCCCCATGGTGAAGAACAGAGGCCTCCAGCCAGCAGCTGCAGAGAGTTGAAGCCTCCTGACGACAAAAACACGGGTGAGCTTGGAAGGAGATTCTACAGGCTTGTTAAGCCTTGAAATGCCTGGCTGACACTTTACACTCTCGTGAGAGACCCTGAGCCGCTTACTGTGGCCAGAGAGGGTCCCAACTGCCAAATCAATGACCATTTTCCAGTTCTTATGCCGCTTGACCTCTTGGTTATAGGACAACATTGAATAAGTATATGATTGTGTATACATGCACAGAATGGAATTTTCTAAGAAAGGTCACACCTAAAGTTTCCCACAAATATTAACTTCTGTCTTAAGATATTGTTCTGATGAGAATAAATTCTCAAAGTCACAATCACTAGGAAACTTATTTC